CAATAAAAACACAGCAGTAATCCATTTAAAATGTCAAACGGAACATTTCTCGAATGTAGATGAGCTAAGTTTATTCGAAAATTAACTTAGTAATAATCAGCCAATCAAATAATTATAAAGTCTCATCAATAATGGTTTGGATGTTTTCATAGATAATCCGTTGTAGCATGAAGCAGTCCAGATTAAATGAAGTGTAATTTTAATAATATGCCAATAGTAGGCATATAGAATGTTCACCAGTTAATTGTCATTGTAAAAGGTGACAAATCACATACAATCACACCTCCAAAAAACATAACAAACTGATAACATGAGAATTTATTTATTTCTAAACAAGTTACAATGTCGATGACCGAAAGTGACAATCGGCGCAATATGCAATTATAAATATTTTAAATAAATATAGCTATAATATTAAATTATTTATTTTAATAAACTATTATCAATCTTTTATTACAATACATTACAACGAATTACAACGAAAGTATACATTAGTTTCTTGTCAACAAAAATCACATACACGAGTTATCCCCGTGAACCTCCGATTTGGGCACAAATCAGCGAGGCTTCTTAAATTCAACTAAATTGTTATATTGTGTTTCCACAGTCAACATTTTTGGGGTTATTGGCTGTTATTTTGGAGTTATTGGGCAATTCGACGCAAATTGTTATTATGTGTTATTTTGGAGTTCGGCCTATTGGGTAATACGACGCGCCCTACGTTATCATAATCATGATGCATATATTTGAAATGAATTCCGGTAGTCTTTCAAATAAATTCACCTACAGCGCCTTTTTCTGGGCTGCGGAGTGATCAAAATGTATTATACATTTAAAATAAGTGAGTTTTGTGGGAGGAATCGGGGATTTTAGAAGTGAATTCCGGTGAATTACGGTGATTGTAAATGAATTCCGGCGATTGTAAATGAATTCCGGTGAATTCCGGTGTTTACGCTGTATTCGTTACTCCTCGGTTTTATGGAAAATACGACTAACGAATTAGTAAATAGCGTTCGTAACTACAAAAACTGGCTCGGAAGTCGTGATTTCTACTGGAGAACTGGGGTAGCTAAAATTATATCGAGTTCACGACATATGACGTAACAAGATGGCAGCCAAAGTTACAAAGTTGAAAGTTTTGAACGGTTAATTACTATTTTTGTAGTTATATTTTTGTTGTGGATATGCATATCGATCTGAATACGTGATTTATAGAATTTTACATATTGGGAAAGATTTTCTGAACAATGACAAGAAACACATTAAACAGAAAACGAAAAATATACCCGGCTTTCCATTTTGTACTAACTTGTTATTGTACCGTAGATCTACGGCAGTTCAGGTTTTAGGGCAGTACGCACTATATCAACAAAAATGTTTCAGTTACTGTGGTTTAACGCCCAATCGGCACAAACTAGGTCTTTTCGGGAACGTCCTGCGTTTCTTTGAATTTAAAATGTCTACATACTGTAACAATTAATTAGATATTATCAGGAGGCATATGCTACGCTAATTGATCGTGCCGCTAATCGACAATAGACTTTATCTAAATTTTCACGGCTTAATGTACGATCAATTGTTCTTAGTTTGATTATTTAACATTTAATTAAGAAAACTAGAATCTAAACCAAAATAGACCACCAAAGGAATATGTAGATATTTTCTACTATTCTAGCTTGAATTTAATTGGATTTAAAAGAGGCCCATGATTGACCAATATTTAAGGGTTACACTGGTTTGTTTATATCGTTTGCATTAGATGCCGAACGATGATAAATTTTCAATTCACCATATCTTTGTAAATACTGAATCGAACTGAAACGTTTTTGGACTGATATTCCTTTTAACGATTTAAATTTCACAAATAGTGATTATCCTTGAATGGATAATGACAGCCATGTTGATTTTCCCACTTATGCATCCGAACACGACAAGTGTGGTATTTACTATTTCCTAGTGGGAAACACGATATTTCCAAGCGGTAACGAATACAGCATTAGTCTACCCTCGATATTTGATTGTAATTGCATGTAGTTATAAATAGAACTAGACCTTCAAGCAGCACTGAACCGGCTTTCAGGAATCAGACAGGAAGTGTGTCATACAATAGCCCATTTATCTAGCTACCAAACGATACTTTAGATGTTTTGATCCGGTCACACCCGACGATGAAATCCCAATTGTTGCAAGAGCACCGATATTTTTACTGTCTTTTTTTTTTGAATTATCGAATATTTTTTGACTACTTCCTGTTTACGGATCATTATCGGGATAGATTTAATAAGTGGTATGGGAACTTAACTTCATGTAGCAGAAGTTTCAGAAAGATCCATTGGACAGTTTTACTTCCCTTATACCATTAGGAGCAGATTTACAGATATAACGATTTTTCGACTTTTTTCAAAGATTGTGGCCCTTTTGGACCATTTATACTATATTGAGGCTTTTAAATTTGGATTCACACCCTAGACGACCGTTAGGACTCTAAGTAACATAAGTTTAAGAAAGGAAATAAGAGAAGTTTTCGAAATAAAAGCGTCTGAATAGCCCCCAAAAATGAAAATACTAGATTTTCAGCGTCCCATTATATATTGCCTAACCAGCGAATTTTTACCATTTAGATGTCATACGATCGTCAATTGTTCGGGCTATCCAATGACACTTAAGTTGGTTCGAAATCTTACGTAGTAATCACTTTTTTCGCAAGATCACCATTTTTTTACTTTGGATATATGGTTCTTGTCAGATCTGATGGATATCGTGTATGCAATTAAAGGATTTGACAATAAACTTAAAGAAACATAAGTTATTTTCATTTAATATTGAAGTAACATTATTTTATAAATTTACTTTATAGGGTTAATGAATAGTTAATTCTTAAAAGAATTCTTCTGCTAGGAGCAAACCTGGTTGTCATGTTTTGGTGATTGGCAGATTAGCACTTATGGTAAGAATAACCCATTTATGTTAAGTATGACTATTACAATGTTTAGTACAGAATGTACACAGTATTATATTGGAGGCATTTGAAAAACCAATGAGTTTTAAAGATGTGAAACCCTCTCATGGCGCTAACATCATAATGTAAGCCAATTCGACCAGACTCCATGAATGTGAATTGAAAATTTAATAGGGAGACCACTCTAAAATAACCTTGTTATTAACCTATCGTCTTTATAACGGGAAGGCTTAAATACGGGAATTCCCGGTACTATTTAAGATGCCTTATGGTGAACATGATCTACACCATTATGTAAACTGAGTGTAATGTCATCCAAATATTCAGATCAAGACCCTGGTACTCCTACCCTCTTGAACTAAAGCAATGGCATCTTTTTGGAGAAATTTCATTTTTAGATTTTTACACTATTAAAATATATTTGATTAAGAGAGTTGTTTATTACAGATCATGGAAAAATATATATTAGATTTATTCTTTGGCCTTAAACTTTCTTAAGATATAAAGTTTGATCATCAGATTAATACCCAGGGTAAGCAGTACTCTTATAATTTCAATTATATATGACTGTATAAATTATAATATAATGAAATATTAAACATATACTCCTTACCCTGGATATATGGGGTTAGACATTTCAATGCATTCAATATTAAAATGGTAAATATAATGTAAGAGTAAACGGAAGTCTTGAGTTTTACATTAAGATAGGTAACCATGTAGAAGTTGTTCTACTACTGATGTTATCTGTTTTACTCCAGGCACAGTAGTGGCTTTTCCTACAGTTCCTTTGCGCAAGTTTTGTAGCAAATGACTAAAAAAAGTTTACTGGCCGATAGCTCCCTTAATTTACACATAAACTAACCCAAATCTGTACTTCACATAGCTTAACATATAATAAATCTAGTCCCATTGAAATAAAGATGAAGCCTTACCGCATAATTATGATTTGATGAAACTCAACTGCTACGCAAATTTTAACTGGCCAGTGTCATGGCGGCAAGTTGCGTAATACGTCATTAGGCCTACAACATAATTGTTTGGTAACTATTTTAATGGTCCAGTCCTCACCATTTGTGATAGAATTACTTATTCCAATGCAAACTGTAATGATATGTGTTGACAATTGTAGGTTTGAACCTATTTGAACTTGCCTAATGGTTCTTAGGCTGTCTCAATTGTAACCTTAACACAGTTGAAGGTTGCAAGTATAGTAACTAGGTAGCCATGGTGTCTGAGATACTTGCTCATGAGCCTCAAGGTAGCATATTTGCTCTCTGCTTTGGCCTCACAAGGACACCTGTCTAGTCATGCCTTTGGGACACAAAGCCATGGAGCGTGGACCAATGTATTGTATACGTTGGCGTGCCCAAAAAAGATCCCATGGCAGTTACTATTCAGTGTAAGAGTAGGCAATAGTGGCACTGCCAGCTAAGATTTCCTGCTCCCTGCTTTGGCCTCACAAGGACACCTGTCTAGTCGTGCCGATGGAACACAAGCCGTGGAGCGTGGACCCATGTATACGTTGGCGTGCCCAGAAAAGTTCCCTTGGCAGTTAGTATTCAATTTAAGAGTAGGCAATAGTGGCACTGCCAGCTAAGATTTCCCTCAATGCACACTGTATGGTGTATTGCCGTCTTCATTAGCCCAGTAGGTGTAGAAAACGTAAGCGTACAATTTCATTTCATTGGAAGCCACAATCGTTCAGCCAGAAAGAACAGAGCAGTGACTATTGCTTTGCATTGGAGTGAAAACCAAGGTCTCATGCACAAGCTGAGAGCATTAAAAAAAGAACAGTTAGAAAAACAAATAAGAGAACAGAAAATTTCCCTCATAGATTTATAGGAAAACCTTGAAAGTGAGAAAGCAAAATAGCAGTTGGCCATATTCCATGCCAAAAACTACTGCATGGTGCATTGCTGTTTTTATAAGCAGCAATAGGACATTAAAACCTCATTGATATTCCATTTCATATATCATTTGATTTACAAAATTATAATTTTGTATTTTTTAATTTTGTTTAGCATTTATTATTGAATGTTATTGGAGCGCCTGTACTTGTACCAAACTGGATTATTATTTTGCCTTTGGTGGTGATGGGCAGATCAACACTGTGGTAAGTCTCAATGATATGTAAACTAAGTGCAGTAGCGTCCAAACCCTATATAACTAAAGCAATAGCGCCTACTTGGTGTTGTCACTTATTCACTTACATCCTGTCCCTGTGCAATATTAATGGTTCAGCCAGAAAGAACAGAACAGTGACTATAGCTTTGCATTGGAGTGAAAACCAAGGTCTCATGCACAAGTTGAGAGCATTAAAAAAGAACAGTTAGAAAAACAAATAAGACTACAGAAAATTTACCTCATAGATTCATAGCAAAACCTTGAAAGTGAGAAAGCAAAATAGCAGTTGGCCATATTCCATGCCAAAAACTACTGCACGGTGCAGGGCTGTTTTTATAAGCAGCAGTAGGACATTAAAACCTCATTGATATTCCATTTCATATATCATTTGATTTACAAAATTATAATTTTGTATTTTTTAATTTTTTTTAGCATTTATTATTGAATTTTATTGGAGCGCCTGTACTTGTACCAAACTGGATTATTATTTTGCTTTTGGTGATGGGCAGATCAACACTGTGGTAAGTCTCAATGATATGTAAACTAAGTGCAGTAGCGTCCAAACCCTATAAAACTAAAGCAATAGCGCCTACTTGGTGTTGTCACTTATTCACTTACATCCTGTCCCTGTGCAATATTAATGGTTCTGCCAGAAAGAACAGAACAGTGACTATAGCTTTGCATTGGAGTGAAAACCAAGGTCTCATGCACAAGTTGAGAGCATTAAAAAAGAACAGTTAGAAAAACAAATAAGACTACAGAAAATTTACCTCATAGATTCATAGCAAAACCTAGAAAGTGAGAAAGCAAAATAGCAGTTGGCCATATTCCATGCCAAAAACTACTGCATGGTGCAGGGCTGTTTTTATAAGCAGCAGTAGGACATTAAAACCTCATTGATATTCCATTTCATATATCATTTGATTTACAAAATTATAATTTTGTATTTTTTAATTTTTTTTAGCATTTATTATTGACTGTTATTGGAGCTCCTGTACTTTTTCAAACTGGATTATTATTTTGTTTTTGGTGATGGGCAGATCAACACTATGGTAAGTCTCAATGATATGTAAACTAAGTGCAGTAGCGTCCAAACCCTATAAAACTAAAGCAATAGTGCCTACTTGGTGTTGTCTGTGGAATTGATCTTTGGTCTAGTGGTCTAGACTGCCGCGTTTCGACCTCTAGCTGGCCGGTCACCTCTGGCTTGCGGCTGTGGTTTCGATCCCAGGTGTGAGCATATGTGGCATGGAGATCGGGCGCCTTCTCAACCTCGTGTGTTTCCTCTGGGCACTCCGTTTTCCCCCCACTGCTAAAGACCCCTACGCACAAGCGAATTATTGAAATAAAGTTAAAAACATATGTTAGTCCCGAAATGACCTAGTTTGTGTCGAGTGGACGCTAAACCCCATTTCGTTCTCTCCCATAATTGCCATGCATGATAAGATCCCTGTGAAGTTGGAATTTTAAATAACAGTAGACTGTAGAACCACTATCTGGGCAAGGTTTCTCTCATAGTACGTTGTACTTTTGGTTTACAGGGTTGTTCCTTTTGATTGGGGCATCATATAATTACTTGATTTGTCATAGTAGGCAACTACAGACTCCTAACATTCAGAATTAGAATTAAATGTATGTCATAGTGAAGCCGTTGGACCAAATTCCCCCCATAAAATTGATCTATGCATACATCATTTGACCCTCGGTCATAATATATTCGGATGCACAGTCATATCATCCTGTGCACGGACAGATAACTCCACAACTGGAACAAAAAATAGAATCCTTACAAATCGTTGTGGCTCGGTGAGTAAGGCGTTGACTGGCTGACCTAGCGGTCCTGTCATTGATCATGGTATTGGCTAAGAAAGTGCATTGTTATAATTAATAGCGTCTAGCACGGAACAGTCATTTACAGGCCCGACGGGGGGGGGGGGGGGGGGGGGTCACCGCCCAACAATAATTTTGCAGCAAGTACTCTTTTTTTCCAGGTTATTGCGGCCCCTGGACCCTCGCCTATAAGGACCTAGGATGTAAGCCTCTCCCAAATCGAGAAGAACTTCTACCGGCCCTGATTTGAATGGGAAATAAAACCAAGGTCCCACGCATACATTGGAGTGGTCCTGTGTTCGATTGCATGTAAACCAAGATATTTCAACAGTATTGTTTTAGCAGATCACCCTCCACAGTGGTGTAGAATGGAGGACTTGACAACATACAAAGAACACCATGGTCCAGGCACAATCCCCTAATCCCACACAGCAATCACATTACATACAGATCTATATATCGTTTCGTATAACGTCGGACGTTTATTAACCAGATAGCGTTGATGTTTCTAGTGGAATACTCACTCGTTGCAACGAATCATTTCATTGGCTTATCCATGGAGCTATCCAACGACACTTTGGTCCGCTAATATCTGACGGAGAAATCAAGTTTTCGCAAAAGCGCCATATGTTTAAACCTTTTTAAACATTTTTTGAATACTTCCGGTGTGGAGATTACTGTCGTGGTAGTTTCAATAACCGGTTTGGGCACTTAAATAACCGTAGGGCCCTGTTATGGTTTATTACATTATCTGATCAGACAAAAATGCACCTGAGAAATACTATGTTCAAAGGTGCCAAAAATGTCAAAATATCGAAAATCAAATTTCAATAACTCAATACATATTATACATCGTTAAAATCGTAATTACATCAGCTATCTGAATATGTAACTTTTTTTTGATAATCTCTTAAAATAAAAAAATAGAGCATTTTCCAAAATTACACGATTTTGCGACTTTTTTCGGTTTTCAGGTCGTTATTGACCTATTCCAGATATATCAAAGTCTTAAAGGAATGTTTCGTACACAAGACTACCAAAGGGTATCTCGATAGAGAAAGTTTCAGAAAAATTTCAATAACTCAATACATAATCGTTATCTCATAAAATAAGAAAATAATAGAGCATTTTCCAAAATTTCACGATTTTTCGACTTTTTTCGAAATTCAGCCCGTTATTTGACCTATTCAAGATATTTCAAAGTCTTTAAAATGGAATGTATCATACACGAGACTACCAAGAGGACTCTCGCTAGAGAATGTTTCAGAAAAATCGCTTGAGTAGTTTTCAAGATATGGGCGTCCAAAAACGCTCAAAATCAGACAATACTTGACTTTCAGCGTACCATATTTTGCTGCTTTTTCGTAGTATCCATATGAATTTGGTATCATAAGATAGTCCAATAGATACTTAACTTCCTGTAACAGAGGTGTTAGAGTTAATATTACGTCACTTCCGTTGCCGACAGAAAAATTTCACCGTAACAAAAAAAATTACAATTGGGACCACGAAGCATATGAACTTTGCTTTATACAAATCGAACAATAAATAATTTTTCTGGGTACGAAAAATTAAATTAGCCGATGGCGGCTAACGCAAATTACCGAGATATTTTTTTTTCTCATTTCTGCTCAAGTAGGATGATATTTTAACCCTGTGTAAAATACCATCAAAAAATATTCATAAATAAAAAAAGGTTTTCGTAAAAAAAAATTAAAAAGGTTTTCGTAAAAAAAAATTAAAAAGGTTTTCGTAAAAAAAATTTTTTTTTTCAAAATATCGGACATTTTTTCGACTACTTCCGGTTTTACGATCATTGTCGTGATAGCTTTATGAAGTTCTTTGGATACCTAACTTTCTGTACCAGAAGTGTCAGAAACATCCAATGAGTAGTTTTGGAAAAAAAGATAAATCAAAGAGCGTTTCCAAAAATGTAACGATTTTTCAATTTTTTATCAAAGTTTGAGGCCATTTTTGTACCACCTATATTATTTCAATGCTTTTCATTTTGAATTCACTATATAGACAACCGATAGGACTTTGAGTAAGAAAAGTTTAAGAAAAATCGTAGGCGTCGTATTCGAGAAAATGGCGTCTCAGAATGTTAAAAAATCGGAAAATACTAGATTTTTCTTCATACAATAATTTATTTCCTTACCATCAAAATCGTATTATTTAGATACCATATGATGGTCCATTAATAGGGCTATCCAACGACATTTTAGTTCTTTTGGTCCGCTATTACCTAAGGGAGAAATCAATTTTTTCGCAAGTGCGACAATGTTTTTAACATTTTTTTTTCATTTTTTGAATACTTCCGGTATGGTTATTATTGTCGGAATAGTTTTAATAGCCGGTTTGGGCACTAAAATAGCCACAGGGCTCTGTAATGATATATTACATTATCTGATCAGATAAAATGCCCCTGAGAAATCCTATGTTCAAAAGTGCCAACAATGCAAAAAAAATAAAATATCGAAAATTAAATTTCAATAACTACATACATATTATACATCGTTAGAATCGTAATTAGGTCAGCTATAAGAATATACAACCTTTTTTGAAAATCTCTTAAAATAAAAAAATAGTAGAGCATTTTCCAAAATTTCACGATTTTTCGACTTTTTTCGATTTTCAGTCCGTTATTTCACCTATTCCAGATATTTCAAAGTCGTAATGGAATGCTTCGTACACAAGACTACCACAATGTCTCTCGATAGAGAAAGTTTCATAAAAATCGCTGGCGTATTTTTTGAGATACAGGCGTCCAAAAATGCCAAAAAATATTTTGCTGCCTGATCATAGTATCCGCAGGAATTGGGTATCATTCAGTGGTCCAATCACCGCCCGACCAAATGATACCTTAATTTGTTTAATCCGTCGATATCGGACGGAGAAATCGTGTTTTTACCCAAAACACCAATTTTTCACGTTTTTTTCAAAATATCGCATATTATTTCGACTACTTCCGGTTTAAGGATTCTTGTCGAAATTGCTTTATAAGTTGGTATTGGACTATAACTTCATGTTCCAGAAGTTTCAGAAACGTCAATTCTGCCATAAAACGAAACCCGAGCTCACAAAATGGGAAGAAAATTCGAAAAAAATCGAAAAATAAAGGGCGATAACTCTGAATAAAACTTATATTACTGGAATTGGATGGACTTCAGGTATCCAAAAATGTAAGTCAAATTTGAAAATTTTGAAAAATACCAAAAATTGTCTCGTAAACAACATGTTTTCAATTTCTGAACGATAAAAGTCATAGACGAATGTTCGAAATTGAAAAATGTGAGATAACCATTGTCTCAGAAAAGATTCAGGGATTCCAAAAATGTAATTTGCTTGAAAATGGATAAAGAATTGACGAAACTATGGCCAATTTTCAATTTTTAGACAACGTACAAAGTTCGGTCACTTCCGGTATGCGCAGAAATTTCAAAAATATTTTATCAAGTAGCCACCACATGTTTTCCCGATAGAAAATCTAATTCCAGATCGTTATCTGTTTTCGATCATGGAGATCTAGGCTCCCGCGGTAAATAATAATAATAATAATAACTAGATCTGCATAGCAGATATCAAAGCTTTCATATAAACTTCAAAAGGGGTTATTAGAATCTATGAATCATCAACCACTCTGACGGATGTAGAAAGGAATATATTGTTACTAAATCTGTTGTACTGTTTCTTATTATGGTAAAGAAGACATGAATACAACTATGAGATTTGTATAGAATTGGCATTAATCAATATATTTATTGTTTAATACTACATGTATATTATAGATACAAAGTGAATTAAATGAACCCAATTACATGTACTTTATATAAGCAATGTTTTTTTATTCATCGTTACTTTGAAATCACATTATTTTCATTGATGATAAAAAGGTTGTATTTGTACCGAATCCAAAAAGTATGTTGTATGACATTGCATTATCTGTACCAATTATTTATTTGCAAACCAATATACAATGTTTATTTCTACTCCAATATATTTGTTTCAACCCATGATAGTTTATTCACTCTTCTCACTTAAATACAAGAATAACACACGATTAAATTACTGAAACAAGTAATGCTGGTAGATTATAATTTGATATTGTATACCATTTACTCTCTGTTAGATAAGGCGACGTGGTAATCTGTTAGCTAAACATACATGGAAGTATATGTTAGATAACTACAATTTATGATATATTTTAAACCAAGGAAG